ACCCTTCCCAAAATGGTTGGGCCAGAACCGCCCCTATATATCTACTAGCTTAGAACGGAAGAGAGGCGAAATAGCATTCGCCGATGGCAGTTGCAGTGGGACGCCTCGACCAAGGGGAGATGGACACATCGACTGACTCCACAGGTAGACGTCTGGCTAAGCCGACAACACAGAGAAGTCAACTACTACCTAACTCAGATGCTTTCAGGACATGGATGCTTCCGAGAATATCTTCATATATTCAAACATGAGGATTCCCTGGAGTGCCCGATCTGCACAGGAGTCAACGAAGATACGGAACACGTGTTTTTCGTATGTCCACGCTTCAGCATTACCCGCAGTACATGGGATACTGCGCTAAAAGGAGAGATCTCCCCCGAGAGTATAGTGAGCGTCATGCTCCAATCGGAGGCCTCCTGGGACGCAACGAGCAACTTCGCGGCAGAAGTCATGAAGGAGTTTAGAAAGGAGGAACGCGAGCGCAAGGCAGCAGACTAGCCGAGGAATTTACTGGAACCTCCTATCCACACCCAACACCTTAACGGGATAGGAAGATGTGCAGTAAAAGTAGAACGTGTAGGAGCAAATGGCTGATACCTCCCTCGCGAAGTGATACTTAGTGGTGGTGCCGCAGGGGGATTGAAGGTTAGTGGAGATGTCTGACTGGAGTTTAGTGGGTATTGACAGTCTGTTCGAGTTCCATACTCACTTGACGGAGGGAATTCACTAATCCCCTCCCTCAGGTGGTTGTGCGTAAATGCATTCTCCCAACAGACGAAAAAAAAACATTCATACATACAGGGCTACGGAGAAAACGATCGAAAGGCTCACCTGGGACCAAAGCCCATGAGATGAAGGTGAAGAAGCAGCTACCGGCATCCCAGGAAGTACCATTCATCAAGCCACCTGCAAATCCGAAATGGGAGCTTGTGAAGAGCAAGGAGAGGAAAAAAGGGCCGAGTGCATAGCCAGAACAGCTGACTCCCCAAAAGAACAAGAAGGAGCACCAAGTGAAGACTTCCAGGAAACCAGCGCCGAGATCTGATGCGCTGATTATCCGGCTGAAAGACAAGCAGAAATACTCGGAGTTTCTATGCCGAGTAAAGAAAAATATTCCTCCAGAAAAAGCTCACGATTGTGTCGACAAGATCCGCCGGACAGCCACCGGGGATATGTTGATAATCTTGAGCAAGAAGACGGACGGAGCCCCTGAACTGCGTACAGCCATCGCCAATCTCCTTGGAGATGAGGCTCAAGTGCTCAGAAAAGGACCACAAGAGGAACTTGCAATGAAGGATCTTGACGAGATAACAGCGAAGGCAGAAGTTCTCGAAGCCCTGCAAAGAGTAGCTGGAGAGGAGCACGAAATAATTCCTAAGGCTATTAAACCTTTGCATATGGCATATGGTGGAACCCAGACCGCTTCAGTGATTGTCGCAGCAACTGCTGCGAAAAAGATACTGGGTGAGCATGGCAAAATTAAGATCAGTTGGGTCAATTGCCGTATCAGAAGAATGGAGAGACCGATAAAGTACTTCAGGTGCTGGCACTACGGGCATCTCACCACGAAATACACGAGCACAGTTGACCGATCCAAGCTCTGCATCAAATGCACAGCGACTGGACACAAAGCTTGAGACTGCAAGGAAAGGCCCCTATGCGCCTTGTGCACTGAGAAAAAAGGCAACACGGAGAATTGTGCCCACATTGCTGGTAGCAGTAATGCATCAGTACCCAATCCTGGATGACTGACGCTAGCAGGAAGGCTGTAATCTGGGCTTACGGGAAACGCCCAGTCCAGAGCTCTACGGGCAGTAATATACGAGATGGCTTCGTCAAGGCTAAGGTTGATAGAATCCATTTCTATAGCTGCTATGCCTCACCGAGCCTTTTCGAAGATCAATTTACGTAATTCTTAGACAGACTGACTAAGGATGCGAAGCAGCACTTTCCCGTGGCAATACCCGGGGACTTCAATGCTTGGGCAGTTGACTGGGGAAGTCAGGAGACCAATAGCAGAGGGTAAGCTTTACTGGAAGCCATGTCATCATTGGATGTGTTTCTACTGAACAGCGATGATGAACCGACTTTCATGAGGGGAGAGGCGAGTTCAATTGTGAACCTTGCATTCGTAAGCAGCAACCTCGCAAAGGGGAACTGCTCATGGAAATTAATGGATACGTACACCGCAAGTGACCACTGTGCGACACTTCGGAAGATATGTACTCACCTCAACTTCAAGAAGCGAGTCGCCTCAACTTCTAAGAAAAACAACTGCATTAGTTGGAGAATGAGCACCTTCCATCCTAGCTCCTATTTAGTCGCAGTGGACGATCGCCCGATTAGTGGCAAAAATGCTACTGAAAAGGCACGGAATATCATGAAAAGAGTGACAGAAGCATGCAATGCCAACATGTCCAGGAGACGGACAGCACACCGGAACCCACCTGTATATTGGTGGAATGACACTATCGCCTTTCTACGAAAGGAATGTAATGCTGCCAGCAGACTGTCTCAGCGTGGCCGTAAAAAGTCAGNGTCCAGGAGACGGACAGCACACCGGAACCCACCTGTATATTGGTGGAATGACACTATCGCCTTTCTACGAAAGGAATGTAATGCTGCCAGCAGACTGTCTCAGCGTGGCCGTAAAAAGTCAGACTTCGAGGAGCTGCAGTGGAGATATAAGGAAGCACGCCGGAAGCTCAGCAAAGCGATCAAACGCAGTAAGAAACAATCTTGGAGTGAGCTCCTTGATGAGGTGGAAGGTGATCCAAGGGGGAGACCGTATAAGATGGTGATGATGCGACTCAAGGGTCAATCAATGCCATCGCCTACGTGCCCTGTACTGATGGAGCGAATTGTCACGGTGTTGTTCCCCAACAACCAGAGCTTCACTGTACTGGTGAACGGGGAAAAGAGTTATTGGTTCCACCAATCACCAAGGAAGAATTGATGGAAGCTTGCAATAGAGTGGATAACACCAAGGCCCCTGCTCTTGACGGAGTCTCCAATATCGCACTGAAATCAGCTATTCATGCAATTCCGGAACTATTCTTGGACGTCTACAACGAGTGTTTAAGGGAGGGCACCTTCCCGGCTATATGGAAACAGCAGAGACTAGTATTGCTCCCGAAAGGGAATAAACCACCGGACGGTCCTTCATCATACCATCCCCTCTGCATGCTAGATACCACTGGCAAGATCCTCGAGCGCATCGTCCACCGAAGGATAGAAGCAACGGTCGAACCCTTGTTGGCCGACAACCAATATGGGTTCCGAAAAGGCCGATCCACCCTAGACGCTATCAACCTGGTCGTCAACACCACAAAGGACTCGATCTCAGGGAAAAGATGGCTGAATGGTACAAAGGAGTACTGCTTGGTAGTCACGCTAGATATCAAGAATGCTTTCAACTCGGCCAAATGGGACCGTATTATTGAGCCATTGGTGAAGTTCAATGTACCGGGATGCTTGCACAAAATGGTCGGCAGCTATTTCACTGGAAGGGTCCTTAAATATAACACGGAGTATGGCTCGAAAGAGTACAGAGTCACCGGAGGTGTACCGCAAGGTTCCGTATTGGGTCCTCTATTGTGGAACATCATGTATGACGGGCTACTGAAGCTGAAATTTCTGCGGGATACTAAACTCGTGGCATTTGCAGATGACATGGCGGTAGTTATTATGGGCAAACTCCTGGAGGAATACAGTAGGCCTGAAATTGGCAGAGCGCAAGACAGAGGCTGTGCTGATCACCAGCAGAAAGAAAACCGAGACAATGACGCTGCAGGTCGGGTCCTGTGAAATGACCTCTCAGTCGTTCATCCGATACCTGGGGGTGATGATCGATGCCCGACTCAATTTCAAGCAGCAAGCGGAGCACGTGGGTGCCAAGGCGTCTGGAGTTAGATCCAACTTATTACGTCCCATGCCCGACATTGGAGGCCCCAAGCAAAGAAGACGAACGCTGCTGTCTTCAGTGGTTACGTTGGTGCTCACATATGGTATTTCCATTTGGGCTGATGTACTCGAGCTGCGGGCAGCGCGGCGTAGGATCGCACCAGTCTATCGGCTGAGTGCTCTGCGAGTTGCGAGCGCTTACCAGACAGTATCGAAAGACGCAGTATGTGTCATCGCCGTGTGCTCCCCATAGAAATATTGGCCGAAAAACGACGGTCATTGTACCAGCAGAGGAGATCGAAAGCACTGAGCGCAGTAGAACTCAATGCAGAAGAGAGGCAGAAGAGTCTGGAGCAATGGCAGCTCAAGTGTGACACCTCTACCAAAGGCAGATGGACACACTGTCTGATCCCACAGGTAGGTGATTGGATAAACCGTGCCCATGGTGAGGTTAATTATTATCTCACGCAAATGCTCTCGGTACATGGGTGCTTCCGGGCGTATCTTCATAAATTCAAACATGAGGATTCCCCGGAGTGCCCAGTCTGCACAGGAGTCGATGAGGATTCGGAGCATAATTTTTCACATGCCCCCGTTTCAGTGAGAGTCGGCGTTCTTTGGAATCAGCCCTCGAAAGAGAAGTCCTGCCTGAGAATCTGGTGGAAGCTATACTGTCATTGCAGGTAGCCTGGGACGTTACGAGCTACTTCGTGGTGGAAGTCATGAAGGTGCTCAGAAATGAAGAACGCAAGCGAAAAGCTGCCCAATAAACGAGGAATCTAATGGTACCTCCTTTCCACACATCACAGCGGGACAGGGGAACGTACGTTATATGAAAACAACATGGAAGAGCCAACAACTGAGACCTCCCTCGCAAAGTAATACTTAACGGTGGTGCCGCGAGGGGAGTAAAAGATTAGCGAATTCGTCTGATTGGAGTTTAGTCGGTATTGGTCTTTGTGACCCGATCCCGATATACCCCAGTTGTCGGAGAAAATCTCTAGGATTCTCTCCCGCAAGCGGGGATATGTAAATGCATTCTCCCAGAAGATATAAAAAAAACATACATACATACATACATACACCCCTCCTATGAACTGCAGGACCTTGCGTTGGTGGAGGGGCTTAGAGATGCATCCCAAACTAAGAAGCAGTTCAAGCTGAGGCCTGTCCTTCTTAGCACATATTGGAGGAGAAACCCAACTCTAAAAGAGGTGTGCAGGGTGGGCTCCCTAGAACAGCCTACAATAAAGAGAACAGGGAAGGCTCCCTTTATCAGCCTAGAATTATTACGATAAGTGATAACACAATACAAAGTTCCCATACGGGTATCCTTGATAGGGAAAATCCCGCCATCGTTTCCGATCGGGTGCAAGCTCCGGTGGCTGATGCTGGCTCCACAAGTTGTGGGAGGAGCCAGTCATCACACTCTTCAAAAGTGGACTCCTTGGCCTCACTTGCTACAAGGAGGGATGGGATTCAGGCCCAACTCGAGAAGGAACGAATCCGTGAATGGGAGCAACTTGAGAAACGCCTCACGGATTTGAACACATTTATGCAGGGAAGGCCGAACATCCACAAGAAAATTAAAACCAGGATGTTCACGGTCGTTGGTGACTTCGTGAAGCTCCGGTGCCGTGAAGAGGCATGGGCGAAGGACTAAAGGCCCAATACTGAGGCGGTGCGAGTGGGCGTACAAACACCTCTAGAAATTCAGCGTTCACGAAAGGACTCCAAAACGACGGTGAAGGGCTCCGAAGTGGAGAAGACCGAGCGTGAAATTAAGAAAGGCAAACGAATGAAACGTAGCCTAAAAAACTCACTAGGGACGGAAACTCGAGACCTGAAGAAGGCGAAGCAGCAGGCATCGACGGTGAAGGATCTGCCACCTCCCGAGCCGCTTGCCAAACCGCCGGACTGGAAAGAAATAAAGGGAAAGAGGAGGAAAAGACTGTCCAAGCTGAAACCCCAAAAACTAGCTCAGAAGAATGAGAAGAAGACGATGTGGAATCACGCAGTTAGGCTCAACGCGCTGATTGTTCGTCTCAAAGAAAAGGAGAAGTATGCGGAAATCCTCAGTCGGGTGAAGAAGGATGGCATCTGTAATCAGGCGAATAAATGCATTGAGAGAATCCGATGTACAGCAACTGGAGATATGCTGATTACTTTGAGCAGGAAAACAACCGATGGAGCCCCCCAGCTGAGATAAGCCATCGCCGGTCTCCTCGGAGAGGAGGCAGAGGTGTTCAGTAAGGGGCCACTAGAAGACCTCGAGATTAAATATCTTGACGAGGCTACTACGAAGAAGGACGTAGGCTATCAAGTCTTTATGTAAGGCATATGGAGGAACCCAGACTGACTTTCCCGTGGTAGTAGCCGGAGACTTCAGCGCCTGGGCAGTGGACTGGGGTAGTAAGGAGATGAACACCAAGGGACAATCTGTACTGGAAGCCATGTCGTCGCTGGACGGGGTCTTGTTGAACAGCGGAAATGAACTGACCTTCATTAGGGGAGAGGCGAGCTCAATAGTGGATCTCACCTTCCTGAGTAACACTCTTGCCAAGAGAGAGTGCTCATGAAGAGTAACTGATATTCACACTGCGAGTGACCACCGGGCTATATTCGGGGAGACCTGTACTGATCAGGGAACCGGATTAACGCCGAAAAAGGCTAACTGCATTAGCTGGAGGATGAGCACCTTCGATCCTAGCTCTTATTCAGTAGCGCTAGAAGA